GTCTATTAGTGTTTACATCTTTTAAGTTCTCACTACACACTTTGCCTACGTTTTTAAATGTTAAACATTGTTTCTATCTTTTGTAATATTTTACTATAAATTTTAGGAAGCATAATGTACAGATAAAGACGCATAAAAGTAATCTTCAATTAGCAAAGGATTATTAAATTTTTAAGACATCTTTTTATAAATAAAAGGAAAAAATAGAGAAGAAAATGACTTGCTTTTTAGTCCTTTTTGCAAAGTGAAATGCTTTTAAAATGACAAAAAGAAGAAAGTCTCATAAACATGCCATACAAAGTAAACGGTTTAATACAAACCCGGTACCAGTGGCTGCCTCGAAACAAAATATATTGTCTCCTAATTGTTCGGTTTTGGGTTCCCATGATATATTCACGTAGAAGTGGTAAGGCCGGTTATTTAATTCTGCTACTTCAGACTTCAAGAATCCAAGAGGCGATACAGTGTCGATGACAACATTCCTGTAATATAATAGACACAATGGAAGTTGATTCGTTTCTTTTATGTAAGGCCCAAATAAAATACATTCAATATAGGCCTAATCACTCGCTAGATGGTCTTAAATGACACAGTGGATTAGTTTGGGATAGTGATTTCAAAGCAGTTATGTCATGTTAATCCTAATTTGTGTTATAAGCCTTATGCAGACTATTAATAGAGACACTAAATTATATTATACAATTAAACTGATAAATTTTATGATGAATTTTGTACATAAATCCATCGCTTACCGATTGTACTGCAGTACCTTACTCACACGGTGTCTATAAAACAAAGACTGAAGATTCAAAAACGAAGACGCCTATATTTTATTTTAATGATAATACACCAGGCAGTCACAAAATCAAAATTACGAAATTTTTTGGATGTCTATCTGTGAAATTTTCAAGGGTCTTCGTTTTAAGTACACCCTATATGGGTGTCTATAAAAGAAAACCGAAGACCTATAAAACGAAGACCAATTATTTCTCAGTTATCTTATTGAAAGCGTTTCAAATCATCATAAAACTATTGCCAAGTACCTATTTCATAGGAATAAAATGAGGAATATTAAGAAATACTTACTACCTTGGTATTATCTTTTTGTTGTAAGACTTTTTCATCTTTAGATTTTATATTTTGTAGGTTAGTTATTTTAAGCAGTTGACCTGTAAAGTATTTCTGAGTATGAAATGCGATGTGAAATGTGATCTCATCTAATTTCATATGTTATTTTTCTACCTTTCTTTAATTTTGTAATATTATATACAGTCGATTGTTATTTATTTTGTTTGTTAAATTTTATCCTTTTTTTGTTTGTTTGCACGAACGCACCAATTGATATTGAGTGCCACCGATTCAAAGGTGTATGTTCAAATAAATAAATAAATAAATAAACTTAAGGGTCTTCATTTTGTAGACACCCGTATAGGGTGTCTACAAAACGAAGACCCGAAAAACGATGACCCACATTTTTCTAGCACATTATTGCCTGAATCAATTTAATGTTATTCTAGTGGAGGTCTTCGGTCTTGTAGACATCCATATATAATAGAAAATTTTTATTTTTTGGTGACGTCACACTCACGCTATAGTTAGCATGCAATACGTCATAAGCTAGATTACGTCACCTTTTCCTGGTAAGGCAAACTTTTCCGGCGTACTTTTTTCATGGATAAACATACACCACTGCTTTGCACATGAATGCCTTGCCTAGCTAAGGGCTACAAGAGCCGCATAGTTAGCATATGATACTTAAACAAGGTACGTCTGCAACTGAATTATTCTTAGGCCCTAGTTTTTTTTTCTTAATTTATTTCTTTCGAAAGTGTACTTTCTATCACATATAGTTGCACTGTCTACTTAGGCCTAGGCCTATTCATATTATGCTTCATCGTCCCCCGCTATACACAGTACATCAGTAGCCTCTTATACACATCTAGATGTGTATAAGAGACATGCACCTTTCTTCCCAGGTGTTCATGTAAATTTGCATATTGTTAGCTAACAAGCTGCGTGTATTCCTTTGTAAAAATGAGTACCTCGGCGTACTCATCTAATTAATCACCGTAATTTAGCTTACACTTATGCATGGAGGGAGCACTTAAAATGTACAATAATCATTTCACTACCCGGCAAACCCCGAACTTTATTCATGCATTACATAAATAGTTTCGTCTTGCTGTACTCCAACATCACTGACGCATGGTAACAAACAACTGGCAGACCATTTCGGGTCACACATTACTCTCCATAACGCAGCACCCCTAGTTCTGTGTCTTCTGGACGCGATTTTTCCCCGTACGAAACATTTGTATGAAACTTCACTCGGACCATCTCGGATTGACTCGAGTGAGTACGATACGAGGAACAAGAGCAGACACTTCGCAATGTCGTGACGCTCGAG